CAAAGGGAATGCTGGGATTGATTTTGGGGGTAATTCCCTCAAAATTTTAGTAATTTGGGGCCATAAAAAGGAAAAAAAACAAGCATTTTTCTAGTTTCAGGACAATTACTTGTGTGTAAGTGTATGGATCTTTATGAAATTGTACTGCAAGGTTCCATATCACAAAGGGAAAGCTGGGTTTGAGTTTGGGGGTAATTGCCCTAAACGTTTAGGAATTTGGGGCCAAAAAGGGGCCAAAAAACAAGCATTTTTCTAGTTTCCAGACAATGACTTGTGTTAAAGTGTATGGATCTTTCTGAAATTGTACTGCAAGGTACCATACCACAAAGGGAAGGCTGGGATTTATTTTGGGGGTAATTCTCTCAAAATTTTAGTAATTAGGGTCCATAAAAGGGCAAAAAAAACAAGCATTTTTCTAGTTTCAGGACAATAACTTGTGTGTAAGTGTATGGATCTTTATGAAATTGTACTGCAAGGTTCCATACTACAAAAGGAAGGCTGGGATTGAGTTTATGGGTGATGAATCATAAGGGGGTTCAAAAAATTTGGGGTAGGGATTTTTTTTTCCTTTTTTTTCTTTAAAATTTACCATTTTAAATTGGTTATTTCTGATTTATATATAAAAAGCAAATAATAATGATATGGTTTGAATAGGTAAATTAAAATTTTTTAAGTTATTAGACCACTTTCATTCTGTGTCAGAAACCTATGCTGTGTCAAATATTTAATAACAATCCAAATTCAGTGCTGCATCAAGCTTGAATGTTGTGTCCATACTTGCCCCAACTGTTCAGGGTTCGACCTCTGCGGTCGTATCAAGCTGAGCCCCAGCGGAGCATTTTATTGTGTTTTGGTCTGTTTTTCTTAAACTATAAGCAATAGGTCAACTATATTTGTTGTATGGAAGAAATGTTAGCTGTACATGCCTGCCTAGCATGGTTCATCTGACCTTTACCTCATTTTCATGGTTCATTGGTTAACTTAATGTTTAGTTTACTTGGTTAATGTTAAGTTTATGTGACAGTTGTAATAAAGCTTTATATTTAGGACTATCAACATAATATCAATGATTAGTAAAGAAGGCGAGACATTTTAGCGTGTGCACTCTTGTTTATCAGCTCATAGACATAATTTTGTCATGTGATCGTGACATCATCAACGTTTTTTCATGATTTACTCCGGTTTGAAATGGAATTAAGAATTAAATTATAAGAAATGACTGTAATATTTTTTCTGCCTATTCAAAATAAGATATAAAATGTGGTGCACACTTTAAATAATACGCGGGTTATTCAGTGTGCACCACATTTTTTATGTTATTTCTTCATAGACAGAAAAAATATTACAGTCATTCCTTAAATACATTATCCTATGACATGGAATTATTCAATAAATTTTCATCTAATAGGTGTAATACCACCAAATCATAGTACGTCACATCCGGTTGGATACGAAAATAGGTCGAAAAAAAATATTCCCTTGAATTTGACAGTTGTAAGTTATTGATCCTACATTTCATTGCAGTAAAACATTTCTGGGTCATAAATATATATCTTGGGTATTTCAAAGCACCATTATTTTTTTTATTTGGGGTTTCTATAGAATATTTTGTTAACTTGAGGTTACATGGTTACTAAAGCTTGTACACAGGTTAAAAAAGGGGGAAAATTTGATTGGTTAACTTCCAGTGATGGTTATTGTCTTATATGCAATGAAATGTATGTGAATTTTTTTCTATAGTACTGGACAGGATAAAACTTTACTCATGCCAAGTATTTCTTTATTTGAAACAAAGATAAATTCTGCACATTTTTTTGAAAAGTGCAAATTTAACATAGACTAATAGGGGAAAATCAATGGTGGTATTACACCTAATAGCAAGTACATGTAAGGGCGAATAACCCTCAAAATTGACACTTAGCGGTAGATAACATTTTCAGCCATTTGTTTTTGCACAATTATCTCCCCCATAAAGATTATTTGACATCACATTTTCAGTCATGGTTCATTGACTTTGAAAATTTTTCAATAGTTTTCATGTTTAAATGTTGCTGTTTTAATTTAAACAATTGCATTAAACTATCAAAATTGCATATAGGCGAGACATATCCCTGTGTCAACAGTTTATTACATTATCACATTTCTAAGTATAGTGAACCATAAAAATGAGATCAAAACCTTTATTTAACATACAATTTAGAAAGATCATACTATAAGGAACATGCACATACCAAGTTTGAAGTTGATACGACTTCAACATCATAATAAACAACTTTTACCAAAAACATCTGGGACAGACCAGAAAGCATAATGCCACTGTATTATTTCTTTCAGGTCGTTTTTACGCTTAAAGTTGAGGTCGCAAATGCGGCCACAGATCAGCAATGATGTCCAAACAAATACCATACATTTATCAGAATCTGCATCACAAAAAAAAACTGCTGCACAAAGGTCAAAGAATTACAGGGACAAAATAAAACAAGACCCTGAAAAATATATTGCATACTTAGAAAGAGAAAAAGAACGAAATAGAAAATGGAGGGAAAATTGGTCTTCTGAACAAAAAATCAATCAGAGGGAAAAAACGAGGTTACGAGTACGTAAATGGGGAGAAGAAAGAAAACCAGAGGAAATTGTTAAATTAAAAAAAAAACCTAAACCAAAAACACGTGCACAAGTAAGTTCAGAAAGAGAATACTGGCAGAGAAAAAAAGAAGAACAACGAGCAAAGTACTCAAGCCAAAAGAGAAGAAGAATTAATGAAAAAAGGCGGTTGCAATACAAATTGAATAAATCCAAGAGCACAACTGAAAACCTAATGCCAGCTGAATCAACAGAAACTCACCAAGGGTATTCAACAAAGGAAGCAGAAAGAAAGGCTGTGTACAGAGCCTCGTTGCATCTACCTTCATCACCTGAAAAGTTTGCATCTGTAGTTGGGGGGTTGACTGCTAAGGCAACTCCAAGAAAAAGAGAAGCATTGACCAAACATGGCCTTTTACTGACACCAACAAAAAAAAGACATCTTAGGATAAGCCAAGAAATAATCTGCAAGATGAAAGATGATTTGCATAAAACCAGAAAACATCGCACTAAGGAGGTTTTAAAGAAAAGAAGACTTTTAACTAGCTTCATACTTAAAGATGCTGAAAAGAGAAAGGCTGGCATTTCTTGGAAATTTGCAGTTAAATGTTCAAAACTTAAAGATGTATGGGAAGAAGATTCTGAAACACCAAAAAGAAGTGATGCTTTGACAGAAGATACAATTGACAAGATAGAAAAATTCTACAAAGATTTTGACACTGTATGTCTGCCGGATAAAAAACAGGCATCATTGAAATCTGAAGAACCAAAAAGAATCTTGCAGAGCAGTTTAAGGGACAACTACAATGAATTCCTTAAAGAAAACCAAGAATGTACATTAAATTTTTCCAAGTTCACTGTACTAAGACCCAAGACTGTACAGACTATGAGTAAATCTATTTTTAACAATTGTCTTTGTGAGTATTGTACAAATATTCAATATAAAGTAAAGGCACTAAATATTAAAGGAATTAACACCAGATATGACTTGTTAGCAAGAACTGTATGCCAAAAACCAGAAGGATCTAGATATTACAAAATTGAATGTGTTAAAAGGTTATGCAAATTATGTGGGGTAGATAAGTTTATTTCCCAGTTAGACTTGAACAAAAGGCATATTATACAATGGTATAAATGGGAGACGCAGACGTATATGCATGCAAATGAAAAAAAAATCAAAGAAGGTTCTAAGTTTAAAGAAAGAGAGTGTCAATAATTTCCTTGAAGAGCTCAAAAAAGAATTACAGCCATTCAGTGCTCACTTAAATACTGCCTGGTGGCAACATGACCAATTCAGACATGTGACACAGAATTTGCCGTCTGATTGGACTGTTTTCTGTAGTGATTTTGCAGAAAATTACACATGTATATACCAGGATGAAGCACAAAGTGCACATTGGTCTCATGACACAGTTACTCCTTTCAGCATTGTTGCCTACATCAGATGCAAATTCTGTAAGTTAGTCGTAACTCAAAGCATGATCTATGTGTCAGAAGACAAAAAACATGACTTTCATTATGTTCAACATTGTATTTCATTGGCAAACGAGTATATACAAAGAGTTTATGAGATTAAATCTAAGAGGCAGATTCACTTCAAAATGCAAGTGAATTCTTTGATTTTGCAGAGGCAAATTTAAGACGGCCAACACTAGACTCGCAGAATGAATGTTGTCATTTTAGAAGAAATTTCTTCATAGTAAAGGAAGGTGATGTCAACAGAAAACGCCAAGAGAGGACCAATGTGAAGGCTGTTCCTGAAACCAGACAACTTCATTCTGTGAGGGCTTCCAATGATTCGGCTTCTCTAGAAAAGCGCACACTTAGCTGTTTTAGCTCAACATGCATACAAGGATCTGGTTCCTGTCATAATGTAGACGTGGTAGAAGGTTGGATAAAAGAGACACAAAGAAGACAGTTGAACAAGAAAGACACCTCTAAAAAAAGTAAGAAAGTTGACAAGAAAAATGTCAAAGGTTTGTTTAAGGAAACTCCAAGAAAACAGTTGAGCAAGAAAAACCAAAGAGCAACTCGTTCAAATAGCCACAAAAAAGCAGACTCACAAGAAAGAACACAGGATTTACCAAAACAAAAAGAATTTAACAGACAAGACACAACAGTTGAAGAATTGCACTCTCTTGAAAATACCTCACCACAAATCAATGAACTATCAGTCAATATTGCAAGAGTGCAAGATAATAAGGACACTCTTTTTGAAGTTATATTACAAACTTTGAAGAGCTCTACTACAGTAGATGACATGATGATTAAAGGAACTGAACTCGCAAGTGTAATACCACATCTTAGGTGCAACAAAGATGAAGACATTTCTATTTCTGGAAGTGGGTTACATATTGACAAGTTCGGGATGGAACTGTTGCCGGATGATGTCAAGGAATAAGGATATTTCCCTGCAAGTGTACTTGGTGATGGAAATTGCTTGCCTAGGTCTGCTAGTGTGATAATGTATGGAACAGAAAACAATCATACGGAACTACGTGCCAGAATTGCATTAGAACTGGCATGCTATTTGCCGCTGTATGTGGACCATACATATTTAAGGAGAGGTGAACAACTATCTGATAAAGAAGCGCTTGTTCTCCCAAAGTCTTACGTTATGTATTCAGAGCTGTATACACCTGGAGATATAATTACTTCATCTTTGATAGAAAGAACACTATTTGAAGAGATTAGGAAAGTATGCAGTGCAAATGAATTCATGGGAATTTGGCAGATTTTTGCACTTGCATCAGTTTTGGGAAGGCCTCTGCAATCAGTTTATCCAAATCGTGGAAATCCAAATGTGAGAAAAGATCTCAATCGATCAATCTTGCCAAGGGAAATGGAAAGCAACACACCTGCATATATCCTCTGGTCATCAAACAGAAATGATGAAATGACATATGCTCATTGGATTCCAAACCATTTCTGTCCAATTTTGAAGATGTCCATAAATGATGATGTCCTTGAATACAGTACTGACACTCTTGGAGATATAGACCTGGAAAACATCAGCGGGTTGTCTGAGCAGCTGGCTTCATGGGTCATGGATTTACTTGATGACAGTGATTCAGACGTCAGCAATAACCAATATAATATGGTAAATATTTCTATAATGTTAGATGTGTTCATGATCATACAGTAATGGACAAGGATGGAGCAACTTTTTTTTAATAAGTTGTTTACTTTATTTAGCCTTTTTAACTTTATTGGATTCCAGCGTCACTGATGAGTCTTTTGTAGACGAAACGCGTGTCTGGCTAGATACAAAATTAATCCTTGTATCTATGATGAGATTTTTAAACAGTTAATGTATTGCTTTCACTTGGTACGTGGATTTGTTTTCACTTGATTATCACAGTGTGTAAGAATTATATGAATTATATGCTATTACATGCATTACAATTTCATGCTGTTTTTCAGGATGAGACCACAGCTGATCAACACTCCTCATTGGATAAACTGACAGATAACCAGTCCTCGATGACAGTTAAACCCATGGATGTCCAAACTTTTGCTTCAGTTCAACCGGAAGAGGCTCTGATGTCCAACTTGCAGGACAACAGTGAACAGAGCAACAATAGTATTGTTGTGTCTAAGGTATCTATATTTGTTATGTAAATTGCAGACCCAGACTTTGGGCATGATCATACATTTATAATGGACAATGATGGAGCCACCCATTAAAAAATTTTTTTAAATAAGCTGTTTTAGACCCATTAATGTATTGCTTTCATTTGGTACGTGGATCTTTTTTGTCTTGATGATGAAAGGTGTGCAAGAATTTTATGCCATTACATGCATTACAATTTCATGCTGTTTTTCAGGATGAGACCACAGCTGATCAACACTCCTTATTGGATAAACTGACAGATAACCAGTCCTCGATGACAGTTAAACCCATGGATGTCCAACCTTTTGCTTCAGTTCAACCGGAAGAGGCTCTGATGTCCAACTTGCAGGATAACAGTGAACAGAGCAACAATAGTATTGTTGTGTCTAAGGTATCTATATTTATTATGTAAATTGCAGACCCAGACTTTGGGCATGATCATACAGTTATAATGGACAATGATGGAGCCACCCATTAAAAAAAAATTAAATAAGCTGTTTTAGACCCATTAATGTATTGCTTTCATTTGGTACGTGGAACTTTTTTGTCTTGATGATGAAAGGTGTGCAAGAATTTTATGCCATTTCATGCATTACAATTTCATGCTGTTTTTCAGGATGAGACCACCACTGATCAACACTCCTTATTGGATAAACTGACAGATAACCAGTCCTTGATGACAGTTAAACCCATGGATGTCCAACCTTTTGCTTCAGTTCAACCGGAAGAGGCTCTGATGTCCAACTTGCAGGATAACAGTGAACAGAGGGACAATAGTATTGTACTGTTCCAAGAGAAGCCCTTATATGACCAGCTCTTAGTCTCTGAGCACTACACTAAAAGATGTAATGAGCAACAGAGGTAAGGAAAATATTAGTGATGAATAGACTTGTTGTTTTAATGTACATAAGACAATAACATTCAAAATCAAGGAGTAAACAACAGACATTTACAAACAGTTAAAGTAAGTAAGTAACAACACGAACTCCACTTAAAACTGGCAGTGAAATCAGGTGCTCTGGAAGGGTAGGCATTTCCTGCACCGTATAAGGCACCTGTTGTGTTATTTCTTTGTCCAGTCCTTTAATGATGGAAGGCTACTTGTGACTGAGGAAGAATACTAGATACAATTTCTGACACACTTTTGTCATAATGGCAGATCAGCTCATGATGGCTATGATAAAATTTCTTGAGTGCTGACTGTAATTCCTGTCCAAGTAATGTTTCTACATATGTCTGATAACCATGTATGCAACTGTTCATAAATTATTGAAGTTGACTACAGATATCAGTGTAATTATTTGTTCATAATTCAGCTTCCAAATTTACTCAATTTTATATTTACATTGTATTAGTTATATGAGTGGCAATATTTGCTTATTGCCCAAGGGACAAAAACATACCCTGCTGTTGTAAGTATTGCAGTTTTGTTCAGTTTAAGTTAAAGTTTTATTATGTTTTACTGTTATATTTTCTAGGATTGTTTTGCAGAAACTTCTAAATGTCTAATTAACCACTATTTTGTATCATACTTTTGTAAAAATTTTGAATTTCCAGAATTTTAATAAAGGGTTCTTGTATTCTAGATTGATCTTTAGTTCAAATAATTAGATATTATACATGTAGTAGGTTTTATAATTTCTATATAATTACATAAATTTCTAAAATGTAACTTTAAATTACACAATTTTAGAGGGATAAATAGTTAGTTTACACATATCATAATTATTTGTGATTGGGGTTTGCAACAACATCAGCTTACAGTTGTAATAAGCAGTTTCTTTAACTTTTTGCTGATCTGATGAAATTGAACTGTATGGTATCGATATATAAGTGGTTGTTATTTTTTATACCTTTTTGAACAATAAAAAAATCAATACTGTGTTGTTTTAGGTTGATGTGTGGCCCTATGTTTACTTCTATACCCACAAGAAGGAGGACTTGTGGATAAGTGCATCGATACGCCATTCCATAATATCATCAGAGGTGGTCAAACCAATAGACCCGCCAGATGTCTGTTTGATTGGAACTAGACGATTTATGTACAAATTCAAAGGTAGATATGAGATTATTTATTAAAACATAGTTTACATTATCCAAAGATATAGATATAAAAAAAATACAGTGTTTAAACTCAGATCACCCTTTTACAAAGTAATTCAAGTCCGATGTTTGTGAGTGATAGGCCAAGTCCACACATACAAATAGAATAAGTCATAAATTATAATTCCAAAAAATGTTCAGTGATGATTCTGAATTATACACTAAACTAAATTCAAGATGATCTATAACACATACATTGACATATATATTGAATGTGTAAATTTGTGTCCTGGCTGATACCAATTGAAACAAATACCTCAATTGAATGTAAATTTTTCGAGCCATTTGTTCACCAAGTATGTGGAAATTCATGTACATAATACATGTACATGTAGATAAAGTTATAAATCTTTCCAAGAACAACCAAGAAATATATACATTGTTTGTACTGTACAATGAAGGAATACATGTACCTTAACAGTTCAGATGTTCACACACACAGAGCAATGTTATTTTATTCATATAAATTTATTAATTTGGTTAAAATAGATATTTTGCCACACATGTATCATAGCAAAATGTAATATATATATATATGAATACTATAATGAAAAGTTCAGTTAATATCAAAAGTTAATGCTGTACCATTTTCCTCTTTTTCAGATCTTTGAACTTCAGGAATCTGTGCCAGAGAGTGTTCCAAGTTTTATGTCAAATAAAATATTTGGTTAACGTTTTTATGCTTGAGTTTTACTACTGAAAATTTATTCTTGATTCCCTGTGTTTACATCTCTTCATGGCTTTACTTAGTACTTATAATGTACATGTGTTCTGGGTAGCCCTTTAAAAATCAATTTTAAAACTGTATTAAAGATTCCATTTCACCGAAACTCCCTCCCAGCGGTTCCATGTTATTGACCAATGCGGAACAAGCAAATCACTGCCCACCTTAAATATATATGTTATTAACAATTAAGAAATTATGAACTGACATTTCATAAGAATCTAGACAACCAAAGCATGAGTAAAAAAGGGCAATCAATGGACAAAAGACATAACCAGGTGCAGGTCTGTGGTTATCTCTGGGCACTCCGGCTTCCTCCAATAAAGACTGGCAGCAACAAAAAAGCCTAAATGCAGTGGTTAAAAGTGGTGTTAAAACACAAAAAAACAATCAATCAATATAGCAAAAGATATATTCTAGACAGATCTAGACATTAAAAAACTCAACACAGAAAAAAACAGACCCCCAATAGTGTATTGATCACTAAATTTACCCCTATGGTGTTTCAATGTATTAATTACTAAATTTATTCTTATGGTGTTTCAATGTGTAACAGACATTTGGTTCGCTCAAAATTTGTCCACATAACCTAAATTTAGACCGAAAAGAAAGATTTTTTGATGAGTTCTACACATTTATAGGTCAGTGGATGCTTTCTACAAAACTCAAATGACTATTTGAACATACAACAGGTTCTATAATTGTACGGGGGCTGTTACATTCTGTGACGATTGTTACATGGAATATTTAGACTTGTATTGAATTTCAACATCCTCTTGTTTAGTAGATGTTATATCTATTCTTTGTATAACTATTTTGATGGAGTTTCTATAAAATTCATTATCAAAATATAAGAAAACTTGACGCTTATTTTTTTTATTAGGATATTAGTTTTTGACACAATTTTTGGTGTCCATTGTAATGATCGTTACATTTTTTACAAATTTTCTTATTTTTCTATTCCATACTCATAAAAAAATAACTTTTCGTATATTTTTCACTAAAACTATCTCTTTAAATTGTTTTCAAAAGGCAGTTTATATTGTGTTCTCTCTGTGTTAATTTATAATAGGTTAAACATGAATAAGGATTTTCGTGAGGCTTGGTCAAAACTGTAGAGAGTCAAACATCCAAAAAAAATAGTATTGAGACACTTAACAGAGAAAATGTGCATTAGGTTCAATGGAATGAACTGAAAATGCATAAACTTAATAGTCACTATTACAAAATATGTGTATTTAAATCATTTTACTGGACACCAATGTAACCTACGTCACTTTCCCACAGTCATTTTTCAGAAGCACATTTTGACATTTTATCTGCTTAATTTTATCTTTTTATTATCAATATCATGTAGTTAAACGTTTAAACTCTCTGTTATATCCAGTTATGGCATGATACTATCACTTTAAAAAAAAAAAAACACTGTCCCACTTTTTGAAACCACTATTGTGGAATGACTCTAATAACGAACTTTTTCAGTTCAAATTTTTAACGCAATTTAGACAAAACTGTTCAAATAAGCTAAACAAACTTTATTAAAGTCAATATATGAACAGCGTTGTAGGGTGACCAGAGGTAACCAACGTCAATATATGTGTTTTGTGACCAGAAGTAACGAAAGTGAATGATTGTGTTATCTGAGCATTATTGTAAGGTGACCAGAGGTCAACATAGTGAATATATGAACAAGGTGGCCAGAGGTAACCAAATTAAATGAGCGTGTAATGTGACCAGAGCATCATTGTACGTGGACCAGAGGTAAACATAGTCAACATGTGTCTAAGGTGACCAGAGGTAACCTAAGTCAATATATGAACAGCGGTGTAAGATGACCAGAGGTTACCATAGTAAATATATGTGTTTGGTGACCAGAGGTAACCAAATTAAATGAGTGTGTAATGTGACCAGAGCATCATTTTACGTGGACCAGAGGTAAACATAGTCAATATGTGTCCAGGGTGACCAGTGGTAACCAACGTAAATATATGAACAGCGGTGTAAGGTGACCTGAGGTTACCAACATCAATATATGTGTTTAATGACCAGAAGTAACCAAAGTGAATGATTGTGTTATGTGAGTATTATTGTAAGATGACCAGAGGTCAACATAGTGAATATATGTAGAAGTTGACCAGAGGTAACTTAATTAAATGATATTGTACTGTGACCAGAGCATCATTGTAACTGGACCAGATGTTAACATAGTCAATATGTGTCCAAGGTGACCAGAGGTAACCTAAGTCAATATATGAACAGCAGTGTAGGGTGACCAGAGGTAACCATAGTCAATATTGGTCCTGGAACAGAGTTATCGTCCCTTCAATTTCGGTGTCTACGAATATAGTCCCTAGTGTGAACAGTGTGTTTCTTGCTATTTTTTTTATACCCTTTCCACATTTATTTCTTCATGTTTCATGCCTCACATAGCAATTAGGGGAATGAAACTACACTGTAAAAAAATTAGGTCATGGATTTTAGAGTAAAGAAGTGATTTGGTCCAAGTAAAAATGGTTAAAAATTAGTATCTCGGAAGCTGTCAAAAGAATTCAAGACCCCCTTAACATAAAATTGTCCATATTTTGAGTTTTCTATAATTTTGCTATAATTTGTCCCAAAAGTAGTACACCATACTGTAAAAATATTATTGAGAAAGCGCAGGTGGGATTTTTTTAATTTCCATTTATTGTCTAAAAGAAATGCACTTCGAAATAACTGTGTTCTCCGGCCTTTAGTTGAAATGACCCGAGGTAACCAACGTCAATATATGTGTTTGATGACCAGAAGTAACCAAAGTGAATGATTGTGTTATGTGAGCATTATTGTAAGGTGACCAGAGGTCAAAATAGTGTATATTTGTACAAGGTGACCACAGGTAACCAAATTATATGAGTGTGTAATCTGACCAGAACATCATTGTAACTAGACCAGAGGTAAACATAGTCAATATGTGTCCAAGGTGACCAGAAGTAACCTAAGTTAATATATGAACAGCGGTGTAGGGTGACCAGAGGTAACTAACGTCAATATATGTGTTCGGTGACCAGAAGTAACCAAAGTGAATGATTGTGTTATGTGAGCATTATTGTAAGGTGACCAGAGGTTACAAACGTCAATATATGTGTTTGGTGATCAGAAGTAACTAAAGTGAATGATTGTGTTATGTGAGCATTATTGTAAGGTGACCACAGGTCAACATAGTGAATATATGTCCAAGGTGACCAGAGGTAACCTAAGTCAATATATATGTTTGGTGACCAGAAGTAACCAAAGTGAATGATTGTGTTATGTGAGCATTATTGTAAGTTGACCAGAGGTTACCCAACGTCAATATATGTGTTTGGTGACCAGAAGTAACCAAAGTGAATGACTGTGTTATGTAAGCATATTGTAAGGAGGCATTATTGTAAGGTGTAATTAAATGAGTGTGTAATGTTATTTACACTGCTGAATGTACAGCGCTTAGAGTAATTTTAATTTTTTATATAGGGCGCTATATAAATTTTCATTATTATTATTATTATTATTATTAATGTGACCAGAGCATCATTGTTACTTGACCAGAGGTAAACATAGTCAATATGTGTCCAAGGTGACCAGAGGTAACCTAAATAAATATATACGAACAGCGGTATAAGGTGACCATAGGTAACCAACGTCAATATATATGTTTGGTGATTAGAAGTAACCAAAGTGAATGATTGTGTTATGTGAGCATCATTGTAAGGTGACCAGAGGTCAACATAGTGAATATGTGTACAAGGTTACCAGAGGTAACCAAATTAAATGAGTGTGTAAGGTGACCAGAGCATCATTGTAACTGGACCAGATGTTAACATAGTCAATATGTGTCCAAGGTGAACATAGGTAACCTAAGTCAATATATGAACAGCGGTGTAAGATAACCAGAGGAAATCATAGTAAATATATGTGTTTGGTGACCAGAGGTAACCAAAGTGAATGATTGTGTTATGTGAGCATTATTGTAAGGTGACCAGAGGTCAACATAGTGAAAATATGAACAAGGTGGCCAGAGGTGACCAAATTAAATGAGTGTGTAATGTGACCAGAGCATCATTGTACGTGGACCAGAGGTAAACATAGTCAAAATGTGTCCAGGGTGACCAAAGGTAACCAACGTCAATATATGAACAGCGGTGTAAGGCTACCAGAGGTAACCAACGTCAATATATGTGTTTAATGACCAGAAGTAACCGAAGTGAATGATTGTGTTATGTGAGCATTATTGTAAGGTGACCAGAGGTCAACATAGTGAATATATGTACAAGGTGACCAGAGGTAACCAAATTAGTCGAGTGTGTAATGTGACCAGAGCATCATTGTAACTGGACCAGAGGTAAACATAGTCAATATGTAACCAAGGTGGCCAGAGGTAACCTAGGTCAATATATGAACAGCGGTGTAAGGTGACCAGAGGTAACCAACTTCAATATACATGTATGTGTTTGGCGACCAGAAGTATTCAAAGTGAAATTATGTTATGTGAGCATTATTGTAAGGTGACCAGAGGTCAACATAGTGAACATATGTACAAGGTGACCAGAGGAAATCACATCAAATCAGTGTGTAATATGACCAGAGCATCATTGTAACTGGACCAGAGGTAAACATAGTCAATATGTGTCCAAGGTGATCAGAGGTAACCTTAGTCAATATATGAACAGCGGTTTAAGGGGATTAGAGGTAACCATTGTCAATATATGTGTTTGGTGACCAGAAGTACCCAAAGTGAATGATTTTGTTATGTGAACATTATTGTAAGGTGGCCAAAGGTCAACATAGTGAAAGTATGTAAAAGGTGACCAGAGGTAAATAAATGAAATGGGTGTGTAATGTGACCAGAGCGTCATTGTAACTGAACCAGAGATAAACATAGTCAATTTGTGTCCAGGGTGACCAGAGGTAACCTTGGTCTATATTTGAACAGCGG